CTGCCCGCCGTGTTCTCAATCTGCCGGCACTGCTCCTCTAAGAACCGCAGCAGATTACTAAAGGGCGGAATATAGGAGGCGCCGTCCCCGCCATACCTCTATTCAAAATGTATCCTAAGGTCGAGAGGTAGGCGGGACAGCACGATGTAGAGCAACAAGAAGGACCATTCATCCACCGGCAAATCCAGCTGTCTCAACGCATTACAGACCACCAAGAGTGGATTCAAGAGGTCCGGACGTAGCCAGGCCCGGTCCCTAAGCAGTGGTAGGCTTAGAAGGTACCTGACGTATTCGTCCGCAATTCACCGGACGTTGGCGTATCTTCCGGCGAGGAGATCCCGAGCAGTCTGGTAGGCGTCGTCCGACAATCTCAAATGGCCGACGACGCCCAGGGCCTGTCCCTCCAGTGTGGCTAGGAGGTACGCAATTTTCTGGCTTGGTGTCAAATCCCTCCGGGCGTCCACTAGGCTATCAAAACCCCTACAAAGGTCAGCCATTCGGAAAGGACCCCGGATAACCTTGGCAGGTCCAGAGTTGGGAGTCGTCCCAACAGCTCCGGCTGAGTAGGCTGCTTCCGAGGGGACTCGGGCAGGCCACTCATCCGAGCTTCACGCGCCTCCTCAGCATACCTGACCCCAGCCTCAATCAACTCGTCCGTGAGCGAAAAGAACTGCTCGTAGTCTGTGAGACAGGAGTACTACGTCTGAATCCTCGAGCTCAGCGTAAGCCTCCTCCACTGCGGCCCTTCGAGCATTGACCTGCTCGAGCCGCTTCCTCAAGCTATAGACCCTATCCGGTCGACCTATCAAAGCATGGGCGCTAGCGGCCCAACGCAGCTCCGCTCTCAGGCAACGAATCGGTTGCTTGTGCAATGGCATCACTACTAAATACAAATTAATACGCGGCTCAAATATAAATCAAATTAACAAATAACAAATACAAGTACGATCAAATCAAGTTAAATACAAATTACACAAATACAAATTACACAAATACAAATTACTATTATTTAAATTAAATGCAAATTACACTACACGGCAAGTACACACCACAGTCGGTCCGAAAAGATGCCTCTCTGAAGCGACCAACCCTTTGACAATTAATCTGCTATAATTATATGCCAACGATAATTATCCGATTAAGTGATAACCTTATCTACCTAGTCAAAATACCTGAAACGTACCTAGCCCTAACAAACTACGGGCGTGGTTCCAAATCTACCCGCTAACAAAACAAAAAAAAAATATTTATATGTAATTTTTATTACGTACTATTTTTATCTATATTACGGCCGGGCGATTGGAGAACCAATCAACTTCGCTCTGCTACCAGCAATGTACACGCACCTAGTTGCCCAGACTAAGGTCTACCATACCATTTACCATACCAGGAGCCCATACAGCTGTTAGGTTCGACAGACAACTAAGTGTGGGATATTTAATACATATGGACTAGGTACTTAATGCGACTTACCTGATTCTGAGGCGAAGACTGTCCCAAGGCTCGTTCAGGCGTTAATTGTCGTGAATGTAAGTAGTGTGTGAGAACTGTATGTATGTGTAACTTGAATTAGCCCTTTTTAATCAGCAGCGACCCTGACTACAGCACCGCCACCCTATGTGGTATCACTCCAGCGGCGTCACTCGGTGTCACTCAAAGTCTAGCATCCATTAGCACAAATCTATAATCTAATACGAACGCTTCTCGTGGGTCACAAAGTTTAGCGGTTTTAACCGACACAGAAAAATATCTCCGAGTTAAATCAAGTGACACAAAGCAACTCGTTGAAGCGAATTATTATTGTCAAGTACTTCAATCTGCAATCACTATGCAATTACGTAAATTACTTGTCAACGAATTTAGGTTAATCAATCAAATTATTACTGCTTCGTCGTCGCGTGAACGCACCAGGATAACCAAACGGCGTCTATTTTTCTAGACTCAACAAAAAGCCTCGTCGTTGCATAAATTTGTTAACAAACCGACACTAAAAATATTTAGTTATACCGGACGGCCACGTCGTGCTAGACCGCACTGCTTTTTTTTACTTCCGCCGCGCCACGCCGTTCAACGGAGATTTCAGACTGACTCGAGGCGCGAGACGTCTCGGCCCACCGTCCCGTTAATCGACGCATCAGTCGACCGGGCGTGAGCGGGGGCAACGCGCGCGGGAAGGAGAGGCCCGACAGCAATCCCTGTTGCCATCGGACGTTAGCGCTCGTAATGCAGTTTTAAACATTTAGCATTTGGCGCAAACAACCATGACTGACTGGAGAACATTACATACAAATATATCTAGCCTGTGGTGCAGGCTTAAGATAATCTCCTCAGCGTTGCAAACGGCGACTATGGAAAAGAAAGGTCAGAAAAACTTGTATAGATGCATTTATACATCTATATATATATATATATCGCCACTTGATTGGCAATAATTAACGAGACACTTATTGATCGATGTAGAGTTATATACATCATTTAAGTCAGCAAATAATTCTGCGTCGATATGTTATACTCGACGAAGAATCGTTTAGAATAGAATAGAATAGAATAGAATGATTTTTATTCAATATGGATTATTACATAATACTTATTGAAAGTCATTATTTTATTTACCACTGGTTCGGAAAATACCTCTGTCCTGGGAAGAACCAGCAAGAAACCCAGCGGGACTTTTTTTTTTAAACATAATTTCACTTAACAATTATTTTGTTTATACAATTTTAAATGAATTTTCATAGAACCAGCATGGTGACGATCACCTTATTCCAAGGGGTTATTTTCATTCATGTATTCCTTGATATTATAATAACCCTTTTTGTACGGTTTTTTTTTAATAAAACTTTTAAACTTGTTTATTGAAAAACTTTGAACATGTTCTGGGATTCTGTTGTAAAAGCGTATACATTGCCCCATAAATGAATTACTAATTCTGTGGAGTCTAGTAAGTGGCATTACAAGCTTAAATTTGTTCCTAGTGTTTAAGGTATGAACATCCTTATTCTTATTAAAGCTATTTATGTTCTTATGTACATACATTACATTTTCATAAATATATTGCGATGCCAAAGTTAATATGTTTATTTTTTTAAATTTTTCTCTAAGGGACTCTTTACAATTTAGATTATAAATCGCCCGTACGGCTATCTTTTGCAAAACAAATATAGCTTCAATATCAGTCGCATTACCCCATAGCAAAATTCCATAAGACATTACGCTATGAAAGTAACTAAAATACACTAACCTAGCTGTCTCAACATCTGTGAGACTTCTAATCTTTCTTACAGCATATGCTGCAGAAATAAGTCTGCTTGCTAATTTAGATATATAGGGGCCCCATTGAAGTTTCGCGTCAATAGTAATACCGAGAAAAACAGTGGTATCCACAAGACTCAACTCCTCCCCATTTAAGCGCACATTGGTTTTCGAACGTTTTACATTAGGTATTGTAAATTTAATACATTTTGTCTTATTGCCGTTTAAGAGCAAATTGTTGTCGTTAAACCAATGTACTAGTTTCGATAGAGCATTATTTACATCGTCATATTTAATTGACTGCCTTTTTTGCAGAAATCACAGGAAGAGTTTTGTTGTCGCTTGGTAACTTAAATAAAATCACATTTTCACAGTTTTCGGCGACCGAGAGACTAAAATTTTTCCGATTTATGAATAATTTTCACTTGGTATTCGATTTTAACTTTATAATTTTAGTAATTTTTGTCTTGACTCAAATTAATGCGGTTAAAATAAAAGTAACTTTTCTCTTGCGGTATCTAGGATGTAAGCGTTACTTAAGAAATTTTACCGGATTAAATTATTTTTTCGCGTCACGTAAAATTTTTTAACAGATCATAATTATGTACTCATTTTCCATCAGTATTTTTTTCCTTAATGATATGGACTTAAATAAGTAATTAAGTAGTACTTTTTCTGCCTAAAAAGGATTTATTTTGTCGTTTGGTAATATTTTACCTGCCGATTTTTTTTTACTGATTTTGTTACTTATATAACTATATCTGATATGAAATTTGTATAAAAATGAGCTTATTCCTTTTGTATGTATTTTGTTTTGTCGCTTACACACACCACTGTAAAGCAGATTTTGAGTGGCTATTGGTAACATAATATCAATTAGCCTTCACCGAACTGTCGCGTTGGCAACATTATATGCCAAATATACCTAATAAGTAGTAACTAAATCTCTAAATTGTTTAGACTTGATCTTATTTGTGTTGTTTAATTGACAGTTTACTAAAATATTTTCACACATGTTGTTTTGATTGTAAATTATTTTTGTAATTTTAGAATACAGTACGTGAAGGTACTATATTCACGTACATATAAGTTTGTGTTTTTGGTGATAATTTGGGACAATTGACCGGGTGTCTCTTTCTGCTAGCACAATGTTTAGAGTTGGAATTCCCAGTCAATAAAGATTATACTGATATAATACATAAGCTTAATCCATACGGATCCGTATTGATTATGATTATGTAGTAAGCTGATGTGGCAACGGGTCGGCCAGATAGCTCAAAGAACCGACAACCGCAGGGAAAGAAAGTTTCTCGAGTGGCAGCCTCGTGTCGACAGGCGAAGTGTAGGGCGACTCCACACTAGACAGAATGACGACCTAGTGAGACATGCAGGAAGTTGATAGATTCAGGTGACTCAGGACTATGATATGTGGCATTCCTTGGGGGAGGTCAGCAGTGGAATTATGAAGGGCTGTACGATGATGAATGATCTTTATACAAATAGTGACTAGGAATCACCCATATTACCATGTTCAGATTTTATTTTAATTTTTATAAGTTCATGCCAGAGATCAAACAATTCCAATTTAATATAAGCCATTCTAAACAGAAGATACGAACCCGCGTCCTTTAGGTTCGCAGTCCGTTGGCTACCATAAAGGTACTATCACTTAAGACAAACTACATTATTTTTTAATTAAGATCAGAAAAAAAAAACTATCAGTATCATGACCTTGTTCATTTGCTCAGGTCGTCCAGAGCCATCGGTGCGATGGTTAGTCAATGGTGTCCTTGTAGATGAGGAGTATGAACACAACACTGGCGACGTAATAGAGAACCGGCTACTATGGCCGGCTATTAGACGCGCCGACTACGCAGCCGTGTTCACGTGTCAAGCTGCCAACTCACATTTGGTGCCCCCGAAAGAGCTTTCATTAGTACTCGATATGTTCTGTAAGTATTAATGTATTAATATCTATCACTATACATTACTTATGTTTCATTTAATTAGGTTAGTATGGAAAATCTGAAACCGTTATTAAGTGTTACTATCTTACGTGGGTTTTTATGAAAATAATATTTACTTTATTAAATCAGTGGTGTAATGTTTATAATATTTTTTTCTCTGAAATTTATTTTATTATAAAGTAAAAAAGATTTACAGCAGAAGTTGAAAAAAAATATTTTTTTATAGGAGAAGGAGCAGACGGGCATGCGGCTCATCTGATGGGAAGTGCCTTCCGCCGCCCTTTAAAAAAGAGTAGGCTCTTTTATTGAAGATCCCTAAGTCGTACCGGTTCAGAAAAATGTCTACCAGTTAACTACAAGCTAAACAGAGAAACAAAAGCAGGTGCCACAAAACTTGAGAATATATACGTGATTGTAAATATAAACATAAACATACTATACTTGTAAATACAAATATATATATATATATATATATATATATATATATATATAACTACAGATAACCTAAATAATATACTCTATACCTGATACATAAACATATATATTTTTTAAATAATATATAATACATACATTTTAAGTATACTTTCATACAAACATACTATACAAAAACAATATAAGTAATTTATACACTTATGCAGAAACATTTAAATAAGAAGGTCAGTTGCTGAAAGAAGAAAGGTAATGATAAGTCACCATTCTTTTAAAGGCTGCAACAGAAGTCGTTTTCCTAATATGAGGAAGTAATTTATTGCAAGGCCTTATGGCCTCAGCGGCGAAAGACTGAGACATAAATTTGGTGCGGCGAGAAAAAACACATAAAGTAGTTCCCTCGGATGATTTCAGGTTACGATCGTGGGAGAAACCCAAATACTGAAACTTGCATTTCAAGTATTGGGGAATGCATGCAAAGAATTCTGATGCATTTACACTGATGCATAGGGAGCCATTTAAGCTTAGAGCGATATAAGGAGACATGATCGTATTTACGAAGTCCAAAAATAAAACGGATGCAATTATTTAACCAACGATCCAATTTGCACAGAAATACTTGACTCACATCAGGGTAACACACATTAGCATAATAAATAACCGGTAAAACAAGTGTTTGCACCAACAACGCCTTAGTCTCAGTTGAAAGGAAATTTATGAAACGATAAAGGCCACGCATATTTCAGCTTCCTGAGATTGCCAACTTAAATTAGCATCAATCGTTAACCCAATGTTAACTTAAATTTTTTATAAAATAAAAAAAAATTGCCAACTTAAATTAGCATCAATCGTTAACCAAATGTGTAACGGTTAACTACATATCTAAGAGGAATATTTGTGCTGTTATAAACAATAAGCTCCAGTGGATTGAAATCTTATTTAGCTAGACAACGAGGGCTACCGAGAATTATGGCTTGACATTTTGCAGGATTGACAGAAATTCCATAAATTGTGCACTAGTCACAGATGGCCTGAAGATCTAGATTTAAAATTTCGATCGCAGAGTTAACCGTCAGCATACAGATGGTAGAAGCATATGAAATTTACAGTTATCAGATTTATAAAAATAGAAAATAATAAAGGAGAAAGAATTGCACCTTGTGGGACGCCAGTTGCAAGATCAGACCAATCAGACGAAGACTGTTGATTGACCTTAACTCTACGCTGCGACCACGAAGATAAGTTGATAACCAATCCAAAACTGACGAGGAGAAACCCATGACAGAAAGCAAGAAAAATGTCATGATCGACTGTACAGAAAGCATTAGAGAAGTCAATTAATATGAGGACTGCTAATTTTGACTCCTCCATACACTCTCATACATCCTCGAAAACTTTAAGAAGAGCTGAGATTGTATTATGTCCAGGAGGAAAACCAGATTGTAAGGGACTAAGAAGTTTATTTTTATATATGTAGCTGGATAGCTGTTTGTGTGCAGCTGATTCTAAAATCTTTGAAAGAAGGGAAGTATAGAAATAAGTTGAAAATGGTTAATTCTGTTAATCTATCTGGGATTATCTAACTTAGGAAGAGGATGTACAAATGCTTTACGCCAAAGAGATGAAAAAACCCCAGTAGAAAAAGAAAAATTGATGATGTGGGTGATGATTGGGAGAATGTTATCAATATACATTCTGACTTTCCACAATAGAGTGTAGAGACCCATTCACTCTATTTCCTGCTTTCACTCGTCGTTCTATATCCTTATCATATCTGCCATCCCTACTAAATACACATCCAAAATATACAAACTTATACACTTGCTCCATCAACTTCCCTTCTATTCTTATTTCAAATATCGTTTTACTTTCTTCTGTTTCAAAAACTATTAATTTCGTCTACATTTTTCGTATACAAGTATTTGCATGGCCTACAACTAATGGTTCCGAGTCTGGATGTTTGTCTTTGGGAAATTTATGTATGTAAACTGCCCCCGTAGTGGGGAACAGTGGAGCCGCCGGGGCAGGAGACTTTATTCATGGGGATAATATTGCCATAGTTGCCACGCTTGGCGAGCCGGTTTTTAAATGCAGTTATATTTATTGTTGTTTTGCTGAAATCAGAAAGATGCTGCTCAGAAAGAGGCTGAAGACTATGGTAACGGTGGGGCATGGGGTGCTAAGAATCTTCGTTGGAGGTTTGGTTGCCACCTAACATGACTCGACCTGGCAACATGTAACACACGCACCCTGAGGACTGACGAGAAGATCCAGGAGCTGGAAGAAAAGATAGACAAGTTGCGCTGGAATATTATAGGATTATCCGAGGTCCAAAGATAGGGAGAGGACACGGTAATCATCAAATCCGGCAACTTGTTCTATCACCGGGAGGGCGACCATCTGTCTAAAGAGGGTATCGTATTTTTCTTCCACAAGTCTCTCGTTAACAACGATGTAAAGATTGAGAGTATGACGACAAAGTTTACCTCACGAGAGGTAGCTTATACTCAAAATCACCAAACGGTATTCGCTGAAGGTTATACAGATTTAAGCACCAAACTCGGCACATCCCGATGAGGAAATGTAGGAAATGTATAAGGATATATCTAGAACCATGCATTCCTCCAACACCCAATATACGGTGTTATTGGGAGACTGCAACGCAAAACTAGGCACAAGAGAGAACGGTGAACTGAAAGTACGGAAATTCGCTATAGGTCAACAGAACCCAAGGGGCCAGCAGTTGGCCGACTTCATGGAGAAAGGGGGACTTTTTATCATTTCTTCCAAAAGCGGCCCCACAGGAAGTGGACCTGGTTAAACCCCGACGATTCGACAAAAATAAGATTGACTTCACTATTATAGCTAGACGTTAACTGTTCAGTGATGTCTCAGTGATCGCGAGGGTGAAAACCAGCAGCGATCACCGAATGGTGAGAGGCACACTGGATTTAAACGTTAATATGGAAAGGTCACGTCTAATTAAGTCAACTTTACATCCCCCTCGTGCTCTAAAGTGTCCATGCGGTCGGAGCTAAGTTTTGCAAAACACGCCGAAGAAAAACACAAAAAATTCTCCGATCACACTCTTAATCTTATGGTTGTTAGACGGGTAATGAAGTTTTAGTGCTTAGCAGATTTGACAGCATACAGGCAACTGAACAGACGGATCTCGGCGGGACTTAATCACCTTGAATACAACTCTTATTGGAGAAGTTAATGAGCGGAACCAGGGCTCCAAAGTCTTTGCCAGAGATCAGTCTGCTATAAAGAGCCAACTGTCGAAGCTGAAGACCGAGTGTAGCAGCATCGTTTCAGAGATATCTGAGCTCCTTAGCTATAAGCTCCTTAATTTCGTTTTCCATGGTAGCACTACACTGGAGGCGTGGAGCAGAAGAGCGGTGGTCTTGTTCTTCAAGAAAGGCAATAACGCTCTCTTAAAGAACTACAGACTGATTTCTCTTCTGAGCCGCGTCTACGTGCTGTTTTCGAGAGTCAGTACTCGCACGCAAACTCGACGACGTACAGCCTCCCGAACAAGCCAGTTTCCGAAAAAGCTTTAGCACCATAGATAACATAAACACCTTTCGGAAAATTGTACAGAAGACTGAAAAGTACAATTTGCCACTTTGTCTTGCGTATCTGGACTATGAGAAATCCTTTGATTCCGTGTAAATGTGGGCGGTGCTGCAGTCCTTTCAGCGGTGCAAATTTGATTGGTGGTATATCGAAGTCCTAAAGTGATGTACAGTAAGGCAAAGATGGCTACCCGAGTACAGAACTAGAGTACGAAACCTATAGAACTGCAGAGAGGTGTAAGGCAGGTTGACGTTTTATCCCCGAAACTCTTCACAGCTGCATTGGAAGACGTTTTTAAGCTACTGGACTGGAAAGGATACGATATTAACATCAATGGCGAGGACATAAGTCACCTTGGATTTGCCGATGATATATTCCTTATGGCAGAATCGCTGGAGGACCTAAGCACTATGTTCAATGACCTCAATAGTGCCTCCCAACGGATAGGTCTTAAAATGAATATGGACGAAACAAAGATGAGATGCTTCACGTCTAAGTCACACCTAAGCCGGTGTTTTTTGGGAGCACTAAGCTCGAAGTTGTTGACGATTATGTTTACCTGGGACAAAGAGTCCGACGAGGTAAGTGCAACTTTGACCGAGAGGTCGATCGACGGATTCAACTCAGCTGGGCAGCGTTCGGGAAATTACGACACATATTATGATGTGAGGACTTATAGATCTGAGACGTGGTACTACACTGCTGGCCTTATGAGACAGCTCAAAGTCGCTCAGCGAGCTATGGTGAGGGCTATGCTCGGGCTTTCTCTGCGTGATAAACTTAGAAATGAGGATATCCGCAGTAGAACCTGAGTAACCGACATAGCCCAACATAAGTAAGCTGTAGTGGCAATGGGATGGGCATGTAGATCGAAGAACCGACAACCGATGTGGAAAAAAGGAAAAAAGAAGGCACATATTATGACGTCAGAAAATGGTAGCCACGTTGACTTCATGTTACAAAATTAGAAAATTTCTGATATAGAGTT